GAGACGGCGCTCTGCCTCTGGAAGGAGGAAGCATGGCAGGAGAAGGGAGTGGGAGTGAAGGCGTAGGGGTGGTCACTGCACTAGCTGTTGTAGAGTGTGGGGTGGGAGCTGTCTCTTATACACATCTAGATGTGTATAAGAGACAGCCCCCCCCCCCTGTCCTTCCCCCCTCCTCTTCTTCTGAAGAGAACACAAGCGTCAGTCCAATCTTTCTTCGCCTATCACTTGTGCCACGTGGCAAGCAATTAGGACCTGCATTTCGACCGGCGCAAGTTCAACCTGTCCTACTATTCTTGTGGTTCTCCTTCTTCTAGAACCATCTGCCGGGGGGAATCTACCCAAAGGCCGGGGGGAATCTCCTTCTTCTTCTTCTTCTTCTTCTTCTTTAGGGGAATGTGCGCGTGTGCTGAGATGAGTATGTGCTGCTATGTATTGATGAGCATTCGAAGCGTGTACGTAAGGCAGTTGGCCACTGTTTCAACTATTCTTCTTCTTCCTCTTCGTCGGTCCCACTGCAAGCTCTACCTGCTTGCCACGTGGCACGACGAAACGCTCCGGCTGATGGACATGTGTTTTCTTCTTGCTCGTCTCCTTCTTCTCCCCGGACGAGGCTTCCCGCTCCCTTATCGCATTCCGAACGCTTCCCCCCCTCCGGCCCGCCCTTCTCCTCCCCCTCCCCCTCTCTGGCGCTCCCCGCCACCTCGCCCCCCATTTCTTTGTCTTCTTCTTTCTCCCCTTTTCTCGTTCATCTTCCTTTCCTCTTTGGACGTATTCATCCCCCTTTTCCCCCTCTGCATCCACCTTCACCCGTCCTTCACCGCCCCCCTCCCCTTCCCTTAACCTCCCCTTCCTGAACACCTCCCTCCTCCCCCCCCCCTCCCCCACGCAAGACGGTTAGGGTATCCTTGTGGTTGGTTAATAAAATTCTCTTTTTTTTTTTGTTTTTTTTGACAAATTTCGCGACAATCCCTGATAACGTGTATACATTCGGGGGGGGCATTGTCGTGAAATTTACCACCCCCCCCCGAAAAGAAAAAAAAAAGACATGACTGTACCTGATAACGTGTAGACGGTCGGGACCCGCGTTGTGTTCGGGGGAAGACGGACGAGCTACTCTTCTCTTCTCTCTTCTCTTCTCTCTTCTCTTCTTCTGATTCTTCGTGGTCCTCGGTGCCTTCTGTATTTATGTATGTATTTATTTATTATTACTAGTATTACTTTTTTTGGGTCCTCGTTGCCTTTTTATTTATTTATTTATTTATTTATATTATTATTATTTTTTGTCCTCGTTGCCTTCTTATCTTATCCTCTGAATGCGATCCCGACGCGCCTACAAGGTCACGCTGGCTACGACCGACACGACCTCGCCTTAGTCGTTTCCCGCGCTTTTTCCGGTCGACGTTTCCCGGCCTTTTTCCTGCAGACGTATGTTTCCCGGGTCTTTTTCCTGTAGAAGTACGTTTCCCGCGCTTTTTCTTGTGGACGTACGTATCGCGATTCGCACTGCAGACGTATATTTCCCGCGCCTTTTCCTGCAGACGTATGTTTCCCGGGTCTTTTTCCTGTAGAAGTACGTTTCCCGCGCTTTTTCTTGTGGACGTACGTATCGCGATTCGCACTGSAGACGTATATTTCCCGCGCCTTTTCCTGCAGACGTATGTTTCCCGGGTCTTTTTCCTGTAGAAGTACGTTTCCCGCGCTTTTTCTTGTGGACGTACGTATCGCGATTCGCACTGGAGACGTATATTTCCCGCGCTTTTTCCTGCAGACGCACGGTTCCCGCGCTTTTTCCTGCGGACGCGCGGTCCCCGCCCTTTTTTTTCCCTGTTGACGTATGTTTCCCGCGCTTTTTGCTTCAGACGTATGTTTCGCGCTCTTTTTCCTGCAGAGGTACGTTTCCCGCTTTTTTTCCTGTAGACATACGTTTCCCGCCCTTTTTTCTGTAGACATACGTTTCCCGCCCTTTTTCCTGTAGACATACTTTTCCCGCTATTTTTCCTGTAGACATATGTTTCCCGCCCTTTTTCCTGTTGACGTACGTTTCCCGCTATTTTTCCTGTTGACGTCCGTTTCCCGCGCTCTGACAATTCAGATACAGATGCGGACATGATGGTTACGACTGCCACGTGGCATTACGAGCTCTGTCCTCCTGTCCGTTCTCAGATGGTGGGTTGTTTCGAGTTCTCTCTTGTGCTTCTTGTCCTTCTATCCTCTGGGATCCCGGCCCCCGACCTATCTGCCACGTCGCATGATGAGATTAAAAAATATCCGCTTGCTCTTGCTTGCCCCCCATCGCCACCTCCACCTCCACCCCCCACCCCCAACCCCCTGCGTTTCTTCTTCGTCTTTTTGTTGTTTGTGGATGATTTTTTTTTTGTTAATTAATGGTGGGGTTTCTACTTGTGTTATTGGACTTTGTCGTTGTTTCTGTTGTTTTCCTTTTTTTTTTTGTTTTTTTTCATTTCGGTAATTTTTGTTTGTGTTTTAAATTTTAATATTTTTTCATAACAGCTCGAAAGCGATAAATTTTCACCCCTACCGTAGTCCATAATTATGAGGGGGGTCGGGATCCCATAGCAATATGGTCATGGTGATTATGTCCGTCTCGATTTCACATCTGGCAACTGCGTGTAAGGTGGAAAATGTACCTTTTGCCAAAAAAAAAAAAAAAAAAAAAAAAAAAAAAGGTACCTTGTGCTACAACGTGGCAAAATACGTCCGCCAATGCGGCCATTGTTTTTTTTTTTTTTTTTTTTTTCCCGGGCGCTGGGGCTGCCCGGAGTTCATGCCTGGCCGGGCATTCAGGCGTGTATCCGGGCACAAGCTGGGTGGTCCGGGCACGCGCGGACAACACAGCCTGGTTTTTGCCACATGGGGTGGGTGTGTTGGTCACCGACTTTTCTTCCTAATTAGGTGGGACGTGCAAACGTGTGTTGGCGACCCAACTTGCCTAATTAGGTATGAGTATGAGCTGACTCAGTGTCTCTCTCCCTCCTTCCTTGTGCTTCTGCCAAGTGTCGCACTGATGAGAGCGGTTGCCACGTGGCAGCAATTGGGGTTGGAAGTCGATCAGGATTTGAACCCAGGTCTGTTTTTCAACATGCCTTCCTAATCAGGATTTGCACATCCTACCTAATCAGCATTTGCACATCCTACCTAATCAGGATTTGCACATCCTACCTAATCAGGAAGGAAAGTCGGTCAGCCATAAATGGGGTTTTACCATTTAGCCACGTGGGGGGTCGGGTGTGCGTGTGCTAGTCACCGACTTTCCTTTCCTTCCTGATTAGGAAGGATAGGATGTGCAAATGTGTGTTGATGACTCAACATGCATAATTAGGAAATGAGTATGAGCTGACCCAGTGTGTGTCTGTCCGTTTGCTTCTGTGAAGTGTCGCACTGATGAGAGCAGTTGCCACGTGGCAGGAGGGAAGGAATGCAAGCGTCATTGGTCTCGCAGATACCATCATCGGCGGAGCGAGTGGGACAAGGAGCGGCGGGGGGAGGTGGAGGAGGAGGAGGAGGAGGGGGAGGACTGCATGTGTCCCCATGCAGCGGCTCTCCCCCGCCCGCCGCTGCGCCGGCGGCTTTTCACCCGGACCAAGGGGGGGGTATTTTTGTTCAATTCCCCCCAGGAGGGGCTTCTACTAGCAGTCATGGATTGCCCCGGCTGTCTGACGGGATACCGATCGTGCCGACGCCTCCGCACGTCGGTGAGGCGGCCCCGTTGTGCTCGCCGCAAAGTTACACGCCCACGTCATCGAGCGGAGGCGGCGGAGCTGCTGGCGGAGGTGGGGATGTACATCAGCAAGTGGCGCAATCTCCGGCGGACGGAGAGAGGGGCGGGGGGGACATCGATGGAGGAGAAGAGGGTGTGCTTCCAGCCGCCGACTGCAAACACATAGGAGGAGGGGGAGGAGGAGGGGGAGAAGGAGGAGAGGAGAGAGGTGGAATGGATGGATTGATGGTTCCCATGGATTGCGCCAGAGACGGCGCTCTGCCTCTGGAAGGAGGAAGCATGGCAGGAGAAGGGAGTGGGAGTGAAGGCGTAGGGGTGGTCACTGCACTAGCTGTTGTAGAGTGTGGGGTGGGAGCTGTCTCTTATACACATCTAGATGTGTATAAGAGACAGCCCCCCCCCCCTGTCCTTCCCCCCTCCTCTTCTTCTGAAGAGAACACAAGCGTCAGTCCAATCTTTCTTCGCCTATCACTTGTGCCACGTGGCAAGCAATTAGGACCTGCATTTCGACCGGCGCAAGTTCAACCTGTCCTACTATTCTTGTGGTTCTCCTTCTTCTAGAACCATCTGCCGGGGGGAATCTACCCAAAGGCCGGGGGGAATCTCCTTCTTCTTCTTCTTCTTCTTCTTCTTTAGGGGAATGTGCGCGTGTGCTGAGATGAGTATGTGCTGCTATGTATTGATGAGCATTCGAAGCGTGTACGTAAGGCAGTTGGCCACTGTTTCAACTATTCTTCTTCTTCCTCTTCGTCGGTCCCACTGCAAGCTCTACCTGCTTGCCACGTGGCACGACGAAACGCTCCGGCTGATGGACATGTGTTTTCTTCTTGCTCGTCTCCTTCTTCTCCCCGGACGAGGCTTCCCGCTCCCTTATCGCATTCCGAACGCTTCCCCCCCTCCGGCCCGCCCTTCTCCTCCCCCTCCCCCTCTCTGGCGCTCCCCGCCACCTCGCCCCCCATTTCTTTGTCTTCTTCTTTCTCCCCTTTTCTCGTTCATCTTCCTTTCCTCTTTGGACGTATTCATCCCCCTTTTCCCCCTCTGCATCCACCTTCACCCGTCCTTCACCGCCCCCCTCCCCTTCCCTTAACCTCCCCTTCCTGAACACC